AGGAGGCGGAGGAGCAGGAGGAGGAGGCGGAGGAGGAGAAGCAAGAGGAGGAGGAGGAGGAGACGGCGGAGGAGGAGGAGGGCGGAGGCGGGAGAAGGCGGAGAAGGATGAGGAAGAGGAGGAGGAGGAGGGAGGGGAAGGAGGAGGAGAAGGGAGAGAGGAGGAGGAGGAGGAGAAGGGTGGAGGAGAAGGAGGGGGAGGGAGGGGGGGGAGGGGGGAGGGAGGAGGAGGAGGAGGAGGAGGAGAAGCAGGAGGAGGAGGAGGAGGAGGAGGAGGAGAAGAAGGCGGAGGAGGAGGAGGAGGGCGGAGGAGGAGGAAGAGGAGGCGGAGGAGGAGGAGGAGGAGAAGCAGGAGGAGGAGGAGGAGGAGGAGGAGGAGAAGGCGGAGGAGGAGGAGGGTGGAGGCGGGAGGAGGCGGAGAGGATGAAGAGGAGGCGGAGGAGGAGGAGGAGGAGGAAGAGGAAGGAGGAGGAGGGGGAGAAGTATCATAATGAGGATAATGATAAGTATAAGGACGTGGCGTACTTCCCTGTTTCTCCTGGCTCCGTGGACTCTCTCGCTCTTCTCGCCTGTCCCCGTCCTCTGGCTGGTCCGACCCTCGTCCCCGTCTGCTGACTGAGGGGCGCGGTGTCTAATTGATTGGGGGTATCGGTTGTAGACTCCTCAGGGTGTCGCGGAGATTGTCTCGAGGTGGCGCCAGGCTGCGCTGGCCTGCTTGCGCGGCAGGGTCGGCGAGCCCAGCGTCGACACCAGACAGCCCGCATCCTCTCCGCCTCCTGCCCCCCTCCGTCCGCTCCCATCCCCCCGTCCCTCTTCCTCATCGTGGAACAGAAGGCGGGGCCAGGCCAAGCAATCTCGCCCCCTGCTTCTGCCTGCTGGCCAGCCTCTGTCCTATCCTCTCTCGGCAGCCAGGAGGAGGAGGAGGAGGAACAGGGCGAAGGAGGTGGAGGCGGGATGAGGAGGGCGAAGAAGGGGGCGGGGAGGAGGAGGGGAGGAAGGAGGAGGAGGAGGACGAGGAGAAGGAGGAGGAGGAAGGAGGATGCGCAGGAGGGCTCGAAGGAGGCGGAGGAGGAGGAGGGAGGGAGGGAGGGAGGGAGGGAGGAAGGGAGGGAGGAGTAGGTTTACCAACCGAAGGTTTACAGCGTCTTCGACTATCATTTGATGATGTCCCTTGTTCGCCCATTTGCACATGGCCATGCTCTGTCGCATCTTGTGGATGGAATCGCCCTGCTTGACGTCACCCAGGCGGCACTTGCAAGTACAAACGTGTACGTGGCAGGAGCCCCCTTGAGATCCATCCACATATACTTGGATGGGTCTGGCGGCGCTGCCCATAGCAACCACCCCTCGCGCAATGGCACGTCCCCTGTTCCTTCTTGGGGCTTCTGTGTCCTAGGCCAGTGCACAGATGGATCCATGATGTACATTGGCGCATTGTGTGGCCATGTTATTTTTGACCCTACTCATAAGCATTACGCTGGCGCAGCAGAGATGCCGACCATGATTTGGCCGATGCTGTAGGCCAGCCAAGGGTGTGTTCAGTTGCGTGCCAATGTTCGTCTTATCAAACATCATGGCAATCTCGGGTGTAACGTTCTGCTTCGCGAAGTCCTCTTCTCAAAGTCGGCTTGCATCCGGTGTCCGCAACATCGCCGTATTGCTTGGGGAATTTGTGGTTATCCAGCATGCACATGTGCATTCGCACCAGGCGAATCCATGGAATGAACTTGCTGATGGTTTGTGCGATGTTGTTGGCCTCGGTTCGGCGCACCAGGGCATTTGCAGTCATGAGATGTTTACTGGCTTTGTGTTCCCATTCGACCCTGGCAAACACGATGTGGGGATTGGCTCTTCTTTGAAGCATTGAGTGCCCAACGGAAGGGTGAATATCCATCTGATTTGATTCTGATGGGGTCGCTTGAGCTGAACAGCGCGTCGCTTGAGAGGTTTCTGCCGCCCAGCGTGATCGCGCGGAATATTGACGAGCAAGCGGCGAGGCTACACAGCAGTCCGGTGGATGCTTCACCATGCGAGCTTCACATATTTTGTCACAATGCTTTGACCTTCAGGGCGCGTGCTAAATTTAGCACTGATCTGGCGCAGCTGGAGGTGCGTAAATTTCACGTGGCGGGGTGTCAAGAGACCAGGTGTGAAACTTCAAACAACAAATCGTGATTGACGAGGACGAGGCCACCGGACACGTTGTATGGTGTATGTCCGTAAAGACTCCGGACGAGGCCACCGGACACTTCAAGCGTAAGCAGAAGGTGTGTGTCCGAGCGGACGACGTTGTCACGCATCACGTTGACCCCAGAGCTCTGGTTGTGGTCGTGCCCACTGCGGCGCGCCGCTTGACGTTGCTTCGCTGCGCGCCCCACGCCAGGCCAACGCAACTTAGTGGGAAGATGCTGCGCGTTGCCGTCTGGACTGAGGGGCCTCCCTGCGCTGACAATGATCGGTTCCAACATTCTCATGCCAAGTGCGTGGTCCCTACAAGCCCCGACGAGCATGGGCACGGCCGGTGCGCCGTTGCCCACCAATGCCTCCAACCATGGCGTTTTCGACACATGGACGGCGGGAGTGGGGTTGTGGATTCCTGCTGCCATGCCAGAAGTGTGGGCAGAGGGCAGGTCACAAGCCGCGTACATCGGACATGGCTATGCAAAATTATAGATTGTCGTCGCATGGTGTTTCGTGTGCAGAAGGCTCATACGCTGTGGACGATACCCATGAGCACGATGATCACTTGCCTGTGTGCGCCCCAGTGACATTGCCACCGAATTTGTCACGCTCCATGAAGCGACGGCGCGTTGCGATGCACGATCAGCACGGCCCCGAGGATCTGAGCAAAGTTGCCCACTTCAAACGGTTATTATCGTAACATCTGCCTGTGCCTTTTCACGTTGACCCAGCGTCGCGTTGTTTCGTGCGATAGCAACACGTCCAAGCGGCTGCCGTGGCGGCGTTTCCCAAACCACGGGTGTTCCAGATCAACGGCGCGCTAAATAAAAGCACGCTGGATCTCGTCACGCGCAGGGTGATGCTCCGCAAGAGATTCCGCGCATCTGGGCATGGGCCCTGCTGGGTACATGGATGACGTCGCGCAGCCCCTTATGGCCACAGCTGCTGATATTGTGGATACGATTCGAGTGTGCGCCAGCATATTTGAAGGCGTTTTCTCTGGCCATGCTTTGATCATCAATCCCACACGGGGGATATTAGAAACCCTGTCGATTTGTTGGCCCTGGGTCAGCGGACGCCAAAAAGTCCCCGTTTCTTGATGACAGCGGCTTGATGCGTTTCGAATCCCAAGGTGTTCAGAAACAACTTGTTGCCACGTCGCAATACAGCACGTCGGCACTGTTACGTGTTTGACTGATTCGATGCACCCCGAGATAACTGCGACCGTAGGGGCCAATCTGAGGGTGTTCAAACAGCTGCGTCGAAGCGTGCTTCAGCGCAGGAGCGCTCCTGTCGAGACCCGGACCCTGCTTGCGTTATGCCTAGGCGTTGTTTTCACGCGAGGTTTGCACCAATTCAGCACGCGGCCACAACTGTATGCTGCTGAGCTCTTAAGAGTGCACACAGCAGCGATGCAGGTATATTATTACGTCCTTCGGGGAGGATGGTAATGTGAGCCGAACGCCGTCGCACGAGGCCATAGCGCAGTGCGAGGGGGTAATCGTTCCCGCGATCATGATTATCTACATGCACTTGTATCTGCTCTCGCGAAAATGCCTGCGCGCACCGCGTACTTTGCGCGTCATCCTGTGTTTTACCATTGGAGTGCGCAGATCGCGGATGTAGGCGGTGTCGGAGGATGTGTTGGCGTGCTTGGTCTCACGCGCGGAAGCGTTTGCCCATTCACAGCACAGCCCATCGATCGGTGGAGTGCTGCAATCCGCACACAACACACATGGTTCAGGGCCTGTTTAGGCCTGTGAATATAGAGCGCGGGGTGCACCGCCCGCAATCATGGGCGAAGGCCAGCCGCATGGCTGAGGTCAACTATGTTTCGCTTGCCAGGAGTGTTCTTACACGTGTTTCCCAGCAGCAGTTGGCAACCCATGCTTTCGCCGTGCATGGTGTCAGGCGCCGCACACGTGAGCTTAATTACTGACGTGGTCCATTGCCCGGTGTGTACGCAATCCTTTCACACCCGCGTGAGAGTCACTACCCAACCCGAGGAGCGTTCGGAATGGTGCAGTGCTGTTGTCACGCAGTGTTTACCACGATTGCCAGACACCACCGTAGCGGATCACGACAGGCGGGACGCGGAGGCGGCCAGGGGCCGTGCAGGTAAGGGACAGAGACCAGACCATGCGGACGCCCCTGCCTGTCGGTTGGTTGGGTCTCTGACCAAGGAGGCTTACGAAACTGGCTTGAGCCTCAAGTCCCCCCTCCACTTCTTTTTCTCTTTCGAGTGAAGCTGGAGCGAGGCGCCTCCAGAGGAATGCCGCCTGCATTCGTGCACTGTTCCACGCCTTTTCCATATTCCGGTGTATGATCCTTTCAACAGACGGGCACGCTTCAAGCCGCTACGGAACGGAACGGAAGAGGAGGAGGCAAAGGAGGAGTTTGAGGAGGGCGAAGGAGGAGGAGAAGGAGGAGGAAGGCGAGGGAGGAGGAGGAAGAGGAGGAAGAGGAGGAGGAGGAGTAGGAGGAGGCCAGGAGGACAATGGGAGGAGAGATGGGGCCGAGGACCGCGCTCGGCCTCCTCCCAAGCCCTCCAGACCGAGTGCGCTCTGACCAAGATCTCGAAGCGGATCCGGAGGCCTCACCGGAGGCGCAAAAACACAGAAGAACGCGCAAAACCTCCAGCTTCGAACCTCGAGCCGAGCGCTCCGCGAGCCTCCTCCGCGGCCCTCCCCTCAGCCGCCCCCCCGGACCAGCTCTCGCTTTCTGACGGTACCGAAACCGGGGGAGGGCCCCGGGCACCCCGGAGACGGCCAAACACCACGGGGCCCGTCTCCCTCGGGTCCCGCTTGCTCCCTGGCCATCCTGGGCCCCGCGCGCCTCCTCCGCGGCCAGCCGCTCGGCCTCCTCCCGGGCCCTCGGCGCCTCCGCCGCGGCCCCGCCTTCGGCGCGCCCCTCTGGCTGGCCCAGAGGAGCCTCCGCGCGCCCGCGCGCCGCCTCGGCGCGCGGAGGCTCGCCGCCGCCGGCGCGGTCCAGGGACTCCTCGGCCGGCGGGGCGCCGCTCCCCTCGTGTCTCAGCGCGGGGCACCCACAGCTACGGCTGTGCAGCTGTCGAGGCCAGGGTCCTCCTCCTCCAGCTCCTCCTCCTCCTCCACTGCTCCTTGTTGGACGTTGCACGGACCTGGATCGGATGATCATGGCGTTCTATGGTTACGTTAAAAAAAAAGCGGCCGACTTAGGCCAGGGGGCAGACAAATTATCCCGCCGGTCGCAGCAGGCGCAGAAAGGCGACAAGTGCAGAAATAGAGCATGCACCCGCCAGATAATGGAACAGCAAGCCTGGCAGACCTTGGTAAACCAATCCAACCCAATCCACCCCTAAAGTCAATCCCTCCAACTCTGTACAGAGACCAGGCAAGCTGTGTAACTGAGTCTTGCAGATGCCAGTCGGATGGCACAGGAGGGGGGATACCAGTACGGGAATCAAACACACAGAGTACACGCACGAACAGAGGTACTAATGGAGGGGGGCTGCAGGTGGTCTGGCAGGGACTGCCACCTCCCGGAAGCTAAACAAAAGATACTTGGTTCGAGAGAATGATTTGTAAAACCTGAACTGATGGAAATACTTCCGTGTCTGCTGAGGTAGACCTCGAACCTCCAATGGTCAGTAAGGCAAGATGTAAAACAAGGAACAAGTGGTATAGCGAGCTGCACGCGAGCGAGGCTGGCGCAGGCGGTGTTGGCTGGACTGGTGGCTGGCAGATCTTAAGCAGATTGCGGAATCCTCCTCCTACTCCTCCGCCTCCTCCTCCTCCGCCTCGCCTCGCCTTCCTCCTCCTCCTCCTCCTCCTCCTCCTCCTCCTCCTCCTCCTCCACTCGCCGAGGGTGGCGCAGCAAAATCGTGGGAGGGACCTCCCCCCTTTCGCCCTCCTTTCCTTCTTCTAGATTCTCTTCGTTTTTCCTCACATCCTCCCCCTCCTCCTCCTCCTCCTCCTCCTCCTCCTCCTCCTCCTCCTCCTTCGATCCTCCTGGACGCACTTGGGGTCTGGGTCGGGCGCAGAAGGTAGTATAACGTTCAGGTAGCGCATTGGAGCAGGGGAAGGGGAGGCGACGTAACGACGGAACGCAGGAGGGCCTGCGCCGAAACCCCAGACAGGGTGAGAGGGACGAGTGCAGAAGGTCTGCTAGCTGCGGTTGGGTTGCCCCAGGTGGTCCGCGGCCGTCCCTGGCCAAAGCCAAGGGCGGCCAGCGCCGACACGGCATCTCGCGCACTCCCCCCCGCCCTCACACCTGCGTGCTGCTGCTGGCCCCCATCCCCAGCCCATCTGTGGTCTTCAGAGCATGCTGAAGGTGGTCGCGGAGCTTGGCATCATTTTCATGTGCCTCCTCCTCCTCCTCTCAACTTGTGATCAATCCTGTCGGCTGCTTCCGCTTCCTCGGTGATGGTCCCCTCTGCGTTCTCCAGCGTGGTGAAGATCTGATTGCTCTCGTTCATGCTCATGAAAGCGTCCTGTCCGTTGTCTTCTGTTTCCCTGGCCAACGTTTGGGTGGTCTCGTTGAGGCTCTGGATGATGAAGCTAAACTATTGGCCGTCGCTGATATCTCTTATTTATATTTGTTTGGTCGTGTTATCGCGGTGCTTTGTTGACTGGCTCGATGTGGATATTCGGCTTCGTCGTCTGCTGCCGCGGTCCTCTGAAGTATGTTATGTCGTTCTTGAGTGGCCGTGCCTCGTTGACCTTCTCCTTGATGTTGGCGATCTAATTGTGTTTTTCTTGCAGGTGGGTGTGCGCGAACTCTGGGCGGTCCTCGATATCCTCCTTCATGCGGCCGATATCCTCGGAATCTTGGAAAAGTGGCAAGCTGTTGATTAGCATGGCGTTTATGAAATCCATTTGCCGCTCCCCGCCTCCTGTGGGCAAGTTGGCGCTGCTGTGCTTAATGATGGCGGCGGCGGCTCTCCTTTGGTCGGTTATCTGGAACCTCTCCACTCCTCCTTGAGCTCGGGGCCGTTCGGTGGCTCATCCCAATCGGGCCTCATGATTGCGACGCGCTTCCTCATGGGCCCGACGTAGCTGATGACACTGTTGAGGATTCGTGGTGGCCCTTGACGGAATCCACCTTCGGTTACATGTTCCTGGTATGGGTACGTTCTGCTTAAAGTTCTCCATATTCGCCCTTGCCTCGCATGGGCTTCCCCTTGTCGTCGCCGTCGTCGTAGGGATTCGGGAGGCTGGCCTTCCGTTTCCCTGGATGATAGGTCGGTTGCGGGTGCATTGCGTTCGAATCTACCGTTGTTCCTGAGGCCGTCGGGGTGCTGCGGCGACCACAGTTCGTTCCTCCAGCGGTTGGGTCCCATTCCCAAACTCTTCGGCATCGTGGGCCCAGCCGTCGGGGATCGCCTCGAAGCCATCGTTGCAGCCTGAAGCTGAGGTCGTGGTGGATGTTTTGAGCACTGTGGTGGCGCGCCAGTAGCTGCTGAGCCTTGGGGATTCGGCGCAGCGTGTGAGCGTTGGCCCTCTCGCGTCGGGGCCGCCTGACTCGCGGATTTCGAGCCTACTCACCCTCCATGCCCTCCTCTAAGGGGGATCGCTGACCGAGCTCCGGGATCTACGAGCGGGCGGGCCGCCAGTAGTTAGCCAGTCCTGCGAGCTTATTGAAGGACCTGGCAATGGGACCGCACCCTTTGATTGGGGAGACCCCCAGCCCGTAGGCTGAATGGATCAGAAGGGAAGGGCGGACGCGGATGAGAAGGACGAGGAGGAGGAGGAGGAGGAGGAGGAGGAGGGGGAGGGGGAGGAGCAGGAGGAGACGCCCGAAGACGAAAAGGAGTAGGATGGCAGTGCGGAAGGAGGACCGAGGGGCCACATGCGCGGAGAGGAGTGACAAGGGGGGAGTGAGAACAGGAACAACGAGGCGGCGAGGAGGGGGAGCTAGCGAGGGGATTGAGCGGCGGAGGAAAATAGTACACACACGTCACAGTCGCAGAGCGAGCCACCGCCCTCAACGAGGAAACAGCGACAGGGACGGGCGAAGGCACGACGACGCGAGGCAGCATGCAAGTGGCGCCCATGCCGAAGGCGAAAGAGACGAGGGTGAACGGCAAGAACCGTTAGAGCACCGATGAAGGCAAGCAAGTCTGCGGCGTCCGAACAACAACTCAATCCGGGCCAAGGCGACAGGAGCAGGCCCGCAAGCCCCGTGCCGACCGGGCCGTCAATGACACACCGGGCAGAGGGCCTGACATTCTGCGTCCGAGCTCAGCGGCTGCTCTGATGCGTCGCCAAGCCTCGGCTCGAGACGCACGGTGCCCTCGCGGTCGCACGAAGAACCATCCGCCGCGAGCGCGCGACTGGGACCCGTGCACGCCGTGGGATCGCGGGCTGCGGGCGCACAAGGGAGACAGAGTCAGACTCGTTGGGGGCTGAGGTCAGTACGCCATCGATCGGGAGTCCATTCCCCGTGCACGTTTCGGTAACGTGCTATCTTGTTATCTTCGCAAGATTGTCAAAGATGCTTCTCGATGGTCGAGAACAAATGCACACGTCCGAGCGACGCCAAGTCATAGTAGAGAAGCGCATGAAAAGCGCTGTCGAGCGCAGAAACATCCTCTTCTTCGTAGTCTGCATACGACCATCGTGCTACCACATACCATAAGGAACACATAATAAGGATCGAAGGGCTTTTCTGGCAACGGCGGGCCTAGTCCACAAACAGGTTCCACCACGTTAGTCTAATAAATGGCCAGAAAAAGCGAGCCACTCCTGAGCCTAAAGCGGTCCTTATTTCAGCGTCTTGGCTATAAGCTGTGAGACCGTCTCGACAAGAGCGGCGCGAGTCGCAAGCAGCTCCTGGGGCAACCAGGGATGTGCTACAGGATGCGACGACGACATCCTCTGCGCCCTCGGGGCCATGAGTCGAGCCGAATCCCGCTCACTGGACATGCATGTACGGGGTCTGCGGCGGGTTCGTGCCGCGACGACTTCGGCGTTAGTGTCTGACACCGCTGGGGATCGTTCACCCTTGAACGATTGGCCGTTTTCGGAACGTTAGATCGTTAAACATCGACCGATTCTGGGTGGCCGGCGGCGTTCAATGTTGAATATTGGCGGCGGAGTCGCAGCCGCGTCGGCGCGACACGAACCTACAGTACTCAACTCTGCTGCTGTCTTCATCAAGATACTGATTTGGCCCTGGACACAGCCTCGGCTTGGCTCACGACAGCCAGCCCGCAGAATTCATTACAGAGCCTGTTCATAGACCTGCGAGCACCTTCACCAAGGACGCCCGCGAGAGACCGTCCAGCAGGTTGCAGCCCACGGTGCCATCCACGTAAGTCTGAGGCTTTGCGAGGGCGTTCGGGTAAGCCTGCAATGCTCCCGCACCCTCTCGTCAGTATGCCTGATGCCTCCGTGGTCGTCTGGTGGCCGGCGACAGGAACGTGAACCTCCCAAAAGCTGATCTGGCCTCTGACGTATCGCGAATTTCTCGGGCCAGCTCGTCGAAATGAGCTGCGATAGGGGAGCCTCAAGAAAGCAGCAGCGGCGAACGGCTAGCAGCAAGGGGGAAGAGGCGGAAGAAGGAAACAGCAGGAAGACAAGAAGCATCGCAACGGCCTTCTGCCTGGGCTCGCAAAAAAAAAAAAACGCCGTGGACGACCTGCCGCCGTGCACGCCGACGAGACGCGAGCTGCTGCAGGACATTCGGCTCTGCGTTTCAACAACTGCGCCAGCACGGTCTGCTAAAGGGCCGGGTGCAAGAGAGAAAAAACGGAATGAGCATAAACTGCAAGGGTGGCCCAGCGCAGACCCAAATACTCCGCGCGGAGCTCTAGAATATCGTGTACATGCAGCAGGACGCTCCACTGTTAGGGTCTCCGCCTCAACAGTTGCGAAAGCACGATCTGCCAGAGCCTACGGGTGGAAGACGGGGGGGGCGGGAGCGAGGACACGGGAGAGTTCGAAACCATGTCGCGGCGCGAGGCCTAGCCGCCACGCCAAAGGAAATACCAGAGAGAGAGAGAGAGAGAGAGAGAGAGA